ACATGGAAAAAAGGTGTTTTCAACATTAGATCTAGTAAAAGTCTATCACCAAATACCCATGACAGCGCAAGATATTCCAAAAACAGCAATCAATACACCCTTTGCCCTGTACGAATACGTCGTTATGCCGTTTGGATTACGCAATGCATCGCAAACCTTCCAAAGGTTTGTCGATTCTGTTTTTAGAGTACCTGACTTTGTATTCGCCTACATAGATTATGTAATTATCATGTCAGAATCCCATGAGCAGCATCAAGAGCATCTTAAGCAAGTTTGTCAGCGTCTTAGAGAATATAAGTTAGTCATTAATGTCAGCAAATGTGTTTTTGGCCAAGAGCAAGTACAATATTTGGGTTATACTATCAACCAAAATGGATATCAGCCACCAAAAGAGCGTGTTCAAGCAATTGTCAACTATAAACAACCTGAAACGATTCAAGAATTCCGAAGATTCCTCGGTGTAATCAACTATTATCGCAGATGTATACCTAATGCAGCTAAACTCCAAGCACCTCTCAACGAATTTATAAAAGATTCAAAAAAAAATGATAAAAGAAAAATTCCATGGACGGCAGAAACAGTCAAAGCTTTCATAAAATGCAAAGAAAGCCTAGCTGAAGCAACTCTTATGTCCTTTTCAAACCCCAAAGCAGCTCTAATTCTTACAACAGATGCCTCTGACACCGCAATCGAAGCAGTTCTAGAGTAGTTCGTTGAAAGTCAATTCAAGCCTATTGGCTTATTTTCAAGAAAATTAAATTGAACTGAATGCAACTACAGCACTTACGATCGAGAACTCCTCGCAGTTTTTTCAGCAGTCAAATTTTTCCAGCACTTCTTAGAAGATCGCCCATTTGTAACTAAAACCGATCACAAACCTCTCGTTTATGCATTGCATAGGAAGACTGAACAAGCTTCACCTCGGCAACTTCGCCAGTTGTCCTTTATATCACAATGCAACACAGAGATAGTTTACGTCAAAAGTGAAGATAATATTGTAGCTGATGTATTGTCTAGAATTAACTAGATTGACATGCCAACAACTATCAGTTCACACGAAATTCAACAAGCTCAAGCTAACGATGACGAACTTCAAGATTTGTTAAAAAATTCCAATTCTTTATTAAAATTATAGCGACTTAACGTTGATCCAGAATAAAACACATTTATTTACTGTGATATCTCTTCTGGAACTATAAGACCATTCATTCCTAAACAGCTTCGTAAAGCAGCTTTTCATACAGTTCATGGACTAGCTCATCGTGGAGGTAGATCAACAAGTAAACAGTTGAGAACTAAATTTGTTTGGCCCGGAATCAGGCAAAATGCTTTAGCATGGTCACGTAGTTGTTTATCCTGCCAAAGAGCCAAGATACAACGGCACAACAGACTCGAGCCCAATCATATCGCAGTACCAAGTACTAGGTTCAATCATATCCACATTGATCTCATCGAACTATCAACAATTGATGGATTCAGGTACTGTCTCACAATAATAGACAGATTTTCCCGTTGGCCAGAGGCCACACCTATAAAGAATATCACTGCAGACACAGTTGCAATAGCCTTATATGACAATTGGATATACCGTTATGGCACACCTTTATCAATCACTTCAGATCAAGGTACTAAGTTCGAGTCAGCCCTTTTCACTGCAATGGCGATTCCCGCATCAGAACAACACCTTACCATTCAGCTTCCAACGGCATGGTAGAGCGCATGCACCGAACACTAAAGGCAGCTCTCATGTGACATCCACAAATTCCTTGGACACAACGCTTATCAAATGTGCTCCTTGGACTCCGCACGTGTGTTAAAGAAGAGTTAAACGCATCACCTGCAGAACTATTATATGGAACACAGTTGCGCGTTTCTGGAGAAAATCACAAAGTGATTGAAAGAACGAATGACAGAGTATTCAAAATCGAGCTAAACGGTGAACAAAAGTCAATATCAATAGAAAGACTAAAACTAGCATTTGAAGCCAAAGATGATTTGTCGACAACTAAACAAGAACTACCTGAAACGCCAAATCTACACCATTAGGGTTCAGGCATGCACCGCCCTAAGAGAATGTTCTCAAGGTTGAGAAAGGTATCGTTCCCAAGTGATTGCACTAGGTCACTTCGGGGGGAATAATGTGGCTGTTAACAACATCAACTATTTTTACGTTCGCATGGCCATCTGTTGCCAAATAGAAAAACAGCGATAGAAAATAGAAAGAACAACTAACTTAACGTTTTTCTTGTCTTTGTATCATTATTATTTTATGAGGATTGGGTGAAAGACGAATAAAAGAAAATATAGAGAATAGAAACACGTTTTTTAGTTTTTGTGTAATTTTTGTTAAATATTATATGTGCTGTAAGTGCACTGGCAATCATAATATTTAAATTTATACTTATAGTGAAGAAAAAGGAGTAGCTATAATTTGTGTTGTTGTGTTTCAATGTCATCGCGTTTGTCTGTGCTTTAATGACAAAACAAGTAATCAATCATCCATTTATTCATTCAATACACGAACCATATGTGCATCAGTTTTTCATTGACAAATCAAATTGAATGGACATAACTGAGAAGATCCAGATCAAAATATATATAAAAAAAATATTTACTATTAAATTAAATTAGAAATCTACTGAAATTGAAATAATTTTAAGTATCTACTAGCATAAGAGTATATTTTAAAAATCATCTACGAAAAGTTATTGCAGATGAATATGGTATAATTATTGCTAAGATTTAAAATTAATTATTTTAATAAAAACAAAAAAACAAAACCAGCCAATAATTTAAGACGACAGACGGAAACGGAAAATATTTCACACTCCCATAAAGGATTTATTCTGTAGAAATGAATATTAAATCCGTAGAGCCTTATCAAATAATTATTTCTCAATAACAATTCTCAATAACAACATATAATATTATCTTCACTAATTCCTATCTGTTATTTCTTATTTTTACTAAGAACTTAACAAACCAAATAAAATGAACATTTTATTATGGCATATGCAGATTTAATCGCAGAAACATTTTGTTTTCTAACACGCACGGCAAAAAAAACAATTACTTAAAGTCGATAAAGATAATAAACTATGAGAAAAAGAGCCGCGAAACTTAAAACATTTTGAGCAATTCAATGTTATTGGTAATAGCTTTGAACCTGACCTATTTTGTAGAAGAGCAAGTTAAGACACACGCAAAATTTGTGAAGCACTTCAATCGATTGAAACTGTTTCAACCTAAAGCGCTCTTCAGGTTATAATCTAGTGTCGAAACTCATCTTCTGGATAGTCGCAAAAGATACTCTGATCCATGTCTTTCAAACAACAATGAAGATCGCGTATTTTAAAGTTCAATCATTTGTTGTTGAATGTGAATCTTTTTTATCATTTAATTTGTTCATAAAATAATTAAAAATTTCTTTTTTTTTTAAATGTTTACATTTAATAAAATTCATTTTATAAGAAATTTTTTGGTTTATAAATAATTAAAAGAATTAATAAAAAGCTTTACCCAACTATAAGCTCGTACTTATAAATATTAACACTGGTCACTGCATTAGTTTTATTGTTTAAAATAGATTTATTTATATTTACTAAAATTGCACAAAAGAGCGATATTCCTAAACATATAATACTGCACAACCCAATCCTTTGAACAATCCTAATACTTCGAAAACAGGGAATTAATCGTCAGTTAAATCCAAAGATTTAACACAATTATTATTGTTATAGGTCCCAGACTCACTGCAACCAATATAAAGATCTAGGTATTATGCATATCCTATATTTTAAATCCTATTCTAACTCTGCATGCATACCTGTCTTGCAAAAATCCTCGCTATACTCACAAAAAGCTTAAAAACCTTAAAAATCACTGCAACCTAAAATACCATAAGTTAGGTATTTTTAACGCAGTGAAAGCTTAGAGCACTCGTAATTGCCCGCTTTGCATTTTTTGCTGGTATCTTTGAATGGAAAACTAATAGCGTAAAATGCAATCATACTATTATATATAATATATTTTTATTACAACACATCTGTTATATGGCCTACTAGCATAAGTCAATATTTATAATCATACAATCATAATCAAAATATTCGATTATGTCAAAACTGTACTACTGTCGACATCCTAATATGCAGACAGACTGACATTTATAATTCAATTCACTTATTCATGCTGTTGAAAAATATATATGGTCAATACAAGTGATGATATACATATGAACGTCTCACTATCTACATTACAAACTTCTTTAATAGTCTTACATTATTACTATTCACAATGGAGCGAAAGTTATAACTAAACTTAAAAATGGCATTAAAATGTAATACATGTATAGAAAACCACGACATCAATATTCTTTGATCAAATTCTCATCAAAAGAAATAATGAAGTATATGCGATAGTTGTTCATTCAATAAAACACACTCGAAAGGTCAGGTTATTTTCCATAGAAAAGTTTATTAAAACCGACCGAATAAAAAGTCAGCAACTCTGTCTAGGCTAGGTTAGAATGCCCCTTAAAGCTGTGTAATCGCATAAAATGTGATAAAACAAAGTCTAATTCCTTATGAGACGAACACAATATACACTCACATGAGGCAATTCCATCTTGTTAAGATAAGCAACCTCAGATCTGTTGTGATGAAAACAGATGCTTATCTATATGTAAGTGGGCGCAGTTACTTAACGGTTTTCGAAAATTGTTCAACCAGTACAATACAAATTGTTCAACTATTACATTTGTTTACTAACTGGTTTTATAATAATGTTTCGTTCTGTAAATCTACA